CCCCCCGAGGCTGTGTATTATTTATACGATCACTTCTTCATTAGACTGATGTGTGATTAAGAATGTACACAACAGCCAGGCATGTGCTCTGTTGCTTGCTTTCCATCTGCCTCGTCTGATTGAGAGGGAGACACCAGCGTTGTGATTTCAAAGGGTAGCTGGTGTCAGATCTGGGACACCTGAGGAAGCTGGTGGTTTGTTTTAACCTTCTTCAGAGAAAACTATGCCTTTGTGTTTTAATTCACTTCTTCAAAGTCTGGTCCTTAAATTATGCTTCCCTGATTCAGCTCCCCTATGTGGCATGCATGATACAGACGTGTGAGGATCAGTGGCCTCGCTCGCTGAATGAGAGAGATGCGTTGTTCATGGTGTTCTCTCTTCCTGAACAGAGTTGGAGTGGTGCAAACAGTTAATGTCCTTGGCTGCTAACTGAAAGGTTGGCGGTTCAAGTGCACTAGAGGAACTTTAGAAAAAAGGTCTAGTGACCTACTTTTGAAAAATCAGCTGTGGGCATTCCTGCGGAGCTCCGTTTTACTCTGACCATGTGGTGTGTGTGTGTGTGTGTGTGTGTGCGTGTGTGTGTGTGCGTGTGTGTGTGTGCGCGCGCGCGTGCGCGCGCTATGAGTCAGAATTGACTGGTAGCTCTTTACACACCTGTCAGCCCTCTGCTCTGACTTCATCGCTAACAGACTGTCCTCTCTTACTCCCATGGAACCTTGTGCTTCCTCCTTTCCTAACACCGAGGACTAGGAAACGATGTCTGCCCACCCATGAAACAGTCACCATGCAAAGATTCGGGGCCAATGCTTTGTGACGCTGGACTCTGCAGCCCTAGCAAATTAGGTTCTCGAGCAGTAATGTTGGTGGAATTCTCAGTTTTCATAATTCATTCTAAACAAAAGGTATTTGTTGCACAGTGGAAGGGGCACATGACTAGAGAGCGGGGAACCCTTGACCTCCCTGGGTTCTAGGGAGTTGAGCTTGATCTCCCTCTTTGTTACAACTGCAGTTCAGATGAGCAAATTCCCCTTATGGCAGTAACAGTAAGGAAGAGGGGGAGCAGGGGGATTGGCAATGGATGGAAGTGTCCCCTCTGTCCATCGTTTTAAGTTCATTGTCACATTTTACTCAGTGCCCAAGAATACAGTCATATGCTAGATTTATTCGTGATTCTCATCTTGTATTTGTGCCCTTTTCTGAAAACTCTGGGTAATCCACACTGTGCTGTCTGACATCAGTATCAAAAGTTCAAGGGTTGCAACTATTTATGGATGCGGAAGATAACCCAGGAGCTACTGTTTTGCCCTAATTTCTTTTTTTATTTCCTTGCCAGTGAGGGAGTAATTTTCTTTCCTAGAATGCTGTTGGCTCTTGAGAAAGAGTAGCAGTGTGGCCAGCTTTGCTCTGCTCCTCGTCCTGGTTCTGGCTTGCACAAACTGGCTTCTCCGCCCCTTGTTCCTTGTAACATTAAGCAGTGACAAAGGGCAAGGCTTGAAAGGTGAGCTTGATCTGAACCTTGATTTCCAGTTCCCATTCCAGGTTCCAAAGACGGAAACACCCTTTTTGCTTTATGACTCCAATTCATCACAGTTAGCATCTTCCTGAAGATTACGGGGACAACCAGGTCCCAGAGTCCTTCTCAGGTTGCACGGTAGTTTGTGGGCGATTGGCAGAGGTCTCGTGATGCTGAACAAGAAAGCATTGACCCAATAGAAGATGAAACTAACAGGATACTAAGGGCCAAAAAGGGATCTCTTTGTGCCTGAACTTAATAAGAATTAGTTTGGCTAAGGTTATATGTGTACACAAAGACTTCCCAGAACAATCTATTTTTCATTCGGTCTGTGCTATGTGTGCAGGTATTGTTAGGAGCTATTGTTGTTGGTAACTGTTGAGTTGGCTCTGCCTCATGGCAACTTATGTGCAAAAGAAAAAAAATTGCCTAGACTAGTGCTATCTTCACATTATTCGTATGTTGAAGCCCATTATTGCAGCCACCATATTATTCCATCTCATAGTGTGTTTCCTGGGTTTTTGCTGACCATCCATTTTACCCAATACAATCCCTTTTCTCAAGAGTTCAGTGCTATAAAGGTCTAAAAAGGCCATAGGCAATGTGTTGAGTCTTTGCAAATTCATCACATGACTGTTGTGAATGATTAGTTGTGTGTGTGTGTGTGTGTGTGTGTGTGTGTGTGTGTGTGTGTGGTGTTAGTCTGGGTAGACTAGAGGAAAAAAATCCAAGGACACTTATTTGTAAGAGAGAGCTTGATATCAAAGAGTAATTGTATATTAAGAAAACATCCCATCCCTGCCCAGATCAAGTCCACAAGCCTGATATTAGCCCATAAGTCCAATACTAGTACATAAATTCCTCTTCAGTCTCACGCAACTACTTGCAATGATGCCTAATGAAGGAAGATCACAGACTGGTGGGTGAAAAGTCTTGTGGATCCAATAGCAGTGGAGACATCTCCAGGGCTCTGGCTGCCATCAGTGTGGCTCCATGTGGCTTGTCAACAGGAAGGTGAATCAGAGAGAGGAAGTTCTCAGAATCCTTCTGAGAAGGACATGCCCACAAGGAGGCATCATTAGGCTGTGATATGATTGA